AATCTTTGGATTATAAATTTATAGAATGTAGAATTTATTGATTATAAAATTCAATTTTGCATTTCATTATTTGGTTGAAAATCATAATCTATGAATTTAAAGGATATTTTTAAAATAAAATAAGTGACTTAAATGTCATATTTAGTAAAAAAAATATGGAATTAAGGAAATTTCACTTATGATGTGAAATTTTTCCCTCTTCTAAAGTGGTAAATTGAGATTAATATGGAATTTATTCATTTCGTGCATCATAATATATATTTTTTTTTTTTGCACAATGGAGAAATCTAGCAAAATTCATGAAATATTTTGATTCCATCATTTAAATTCTAACAATCCAAACAATTTCTTAATTTTTATGCATGCAAATTGATTTGAGAACACCATAAACTGTAAATGGAAGAAAATCCACAATTATCAAAACCATAAATACAAATTTTCTTATTGTGATCTTTCAAATTTACTTTAAAAATGCAATTTAGTATTAAGTTACTAACCTTGTTTTTTCTTTTTTGGTTATGCATTTGTGTATGGTGACCATCCCTGTGGTAAAAATTTTGCATCTCAATCAGATTTTCTTTTGAGTATTGAGAAAGGAGGGATTCGAATTTGGATCATTTGCCAAGTCGTATATGCACTTACAACTAATGTGCTTATCTCAAACATATTCTGAATGGCAAAAATAACATTTGAGTGACGATTTGTATGAAATCTCTAATTCTTTATAAGAAGATAAACCAAAAACCATATCTTATTACAAGATATGATTGTTATTTTAAGAAGAACAACTAGGAGTCTATTTGGTCCCATACTCCATATTACCTCTCCTCTTCTTCCACAAAGTGTTGACAAACACAAGATGAGCAAATGGAAATGGACAAAGCAATTTAAAAGAACAAAAAATAGATAATGTAAAACAATAAAAACCAAAACCAATATGTAAGAAAAAGGACAGAAAATACTTAAAATTCAATAGGCCATTTGGAAATGGACAATGGGTAGGAAATGATGATTAGGACTTCCCAGCTGTGACTTCACCTGCTACATGGAAGCATGCAAGACAGAATGTTCTATTTCTTGTACCTTCTCTTAATTTTTTCCACATGTTAAAAACCATAATAAAGAGGTTTAGTTAGAGATGCATGTATTCAACTCTTAGAAAATTGACTTTTGACTATTCTTTATCACACATATGTACAATTAAACTATTAATCAATAATAAATAGAGCAAAAATAAAGTATTGGTGTAGCAGACTCTAATTAATTTAGAATTAACATTCAGTGTTTGAAAATCCACGGCCTGATTAATTTGGATTCGCGTCTAGCAGACTCGTAAAGGGGTAAAACTCTCCCTCTTGAGTGTTTAAAGAGACTCCATATCCAGAGCTCGGACTCGAGACTTTTGGTTAAGAGAAAAGGGATCTCTCTCATTCCATCTCATCCTTTGATGACAAGATTTTATTTATTATTAAAATGAAGAGAGCAAATTTAACTCATAAAGAATGATTCACACAGAAAGATACTATTGAATTCAACAGACAATTAATCACTGTAAGTTTAGAATTCAATGTGCGAAAGCGCTCACGGAAAGAGGCAGACATGAGCTCATACCCAAAGAGGATATAAAAATACTCTTAGGAAACCAACAAATAAGGAGAGTAAAGCTTACAAAATACAACTAATAGAAGAGTCTGAGATACGTTCAATTCTAACATCATGTAAAAGCCAGGAAGGAACTCTAAAAGATAGATGATCGATAAGATCAGTTCGGATAATCATGTAATATGATTTTTTTTATATAATATTATGATTTTTTATAATAAATTTTAATTATTTTAATCAACATTGTCTATTTATATAATAATGTTAAAACATATTGACAAGAATTATATTGAGTAGGAAATAAATTTAGATTGGATAGCTGTTCGATTTTTCTTCCTTAACATTGCAAGCAACTCATGACATCCCTTAATAATTCTGATTTGATTTGCTAATTATAATTATTATACATGCATTGCAAATATCACAATCATATATATAATGGTTTTCTTTCTTTCTTTCTTTCTTGACTTTATTGTATTTCTTTTTAACGTTGTAAATTAGGGTTGATGCCTATGTCTCAATCACTTCACCTGCACTCTACATCGTCTTTGTCTATTTTCCTTTTAAATTATTGCCATTTTTAATTCTCTTCGGTAGGTGGACACATAAGTCTTCTAGACTTCATATTGTAAAGGCATGTCTTTTCTTCTTTGAGCTTCTTCTTTTTGACAGAACGTGCAGAAAGAATTTAACAAGCAAAGCTGTCAGCCACACAGTGCTACTGTATATCAGTATCATACCATAGGCAGTGACAATTTAATCAAACTTGCATATATAATTATGAAAAATAGACAGTGACTGAACTATTGTCGGCAGGACTTAGTTATAAATCGGTAGGCTGAGATACATCTGCTAATACCACAAAAAAAAAAAATCTCAGTGTACAAAGCGCAAGAGGCTCCAAGAAACAATTGCTCACAATAAATAGAGAGAAAGACAATCAAACAATACGAAAGATGTATGCACATACATAAAATAACAAATCCGAGCCTTGATCGATTTAGATATGGTCTAGCATCTTAATTTTTGCTTTCGAAAATTATTCCTTTGAAGCCATTTTTACTTGTGCATAATATGAGCATAAGATGTAGAATGTTCTATTTCTTGTACATACTAATTTTTTTCCACATATTAAAAACCCTAAGAAAGAGGTTTAGTTAGAGATGCATGTATTCAACTCTTAGAAAATTGACTTTTGACTATTCTTTATCATATATACGTACAATTAAACTATTAATCAATAATAAATAGAGCAAAAATAAAGTATTGGTGTAGTGGACTCTAATTAATTTAGAATTAACATTCAGTGTTCGAAAATCCATGGCCCGATTAATTTGGATTCGCATCTAGCAGACTCATAAAGGGGCAAAACTCTCCCTCTCGAGTGTTTAAAGAGACTCCATATCCAGAGCTTGAACTCGAGACTTTTGGTTAAGAGATAAGAGATCTCTGTTTATCATATATATGTACAATTAAACTATTAATCAATAATAAATAGAGCAAAAATAAAGTATTGGTGCAGCAGACTCTAATTAATTTAGAATTAACATTCAGTGTTCGAAAATCCATGGCCCGATTAATTTGGATTCGCGTCTAGCAGACTCATAAAAGAGCAAAACTCTCCCTCTCGAGTATTTAAAGAGACTCCATATCTAGAGCTCGAACTCGAGACTTTTGGTTAAGAGATAAGAGATCTCTGTTTATCATATATATGTACAATTAAACTATTAATCAATAATAAATAGAGCAAAAATAAAGTATTGGTGTAGGAGACTCTAATTAATTTAGAATTGATATTCAGTGTTCGAAAATCCATGGCCCGATTAATTTGGATTCGTGTCTAGCAGACTAATAAAAGGGCAAAACTCTCCATCTCGAGTGTTTAAAGAGACTCCATATCCAGAGCTCGAACTCGAGATTTTTGGTTAAGAGAGAAGAGATCTCTGTCATTCCATCTCACTCCTTGATGGCAAGATTTTATTTATTGTTAAAATCAAGAGAGCAAATTTAACTCATAAAGAATGATTCATTCAGTAAGATACACTTGAATTCAATAGGCAATTAATCACTGCAAGATTAGAAATTCAATGTGCGAAAGCACTTATGGAAAGAGACAAACATGAATTCATACCCAAAAAGGATATAAAAATACTCTTAGGAAACCAAAAAATAAGGAGAGTAAAGCTTACAAAATACAACCAATAGGAGAGTCTGAGATATGTTCACTTCTAACATCATGTAAAAGCCAGGAAGGAACTGTAAAAGATAGATGATCGAGAAGATCAGTTCGGATAGTCATGTAATATGATTTTTTTAATAATATTATGTAAATTATAATAAATAATAATTATTTTAATCAACATGTCTATTTATATAATAATGTTAAAACAAATTGACAAGAATTATATTGAGTAGGAAATAAAATTTGATTGGATAGCAGTTCGATTTTTCTTCCTTAACATTGCAAGCAACTCATGACATCCCTTAATAATTCTGGTTTGATTTGCTAATTATAATTATTATATATGCATTGCAAATATCACAATCATATATTTTTCTTTCTTTCTTTCTTTCTTGACTTTATTGTGTTTCTTTATAACGTTATAAATTAGGGTTGATGCCTATTTCTCAATCACTTCACCTGCACTCTACATCGTCTTTGTCTATTTTCCTTTTAAATTATTGCCATTGTTAATTCACTTGGGTAGGTGGACACCTAAGTCTTCTATACTTTATATTGTAAAGGCTTGTCTTTTCTTCTTGTAGCTTCTTCTTTTTTACGGAATGTGCAGAAAGAATTTAACAAGCAAAGCTGTCAGCCACACAGTGCCACTAAATATCATTATTGTACCATAGCCAGTGACAATTTAATCAAATTTGCAGTGCGAACGTAATTTAGTTATAATTCAGTAAATTGGGATACCTGTGCTAATATCAAAAAAAAAAAAAAAAGGCTGTCTTTTCTTGCTTGTAGCTTCTTTCTTTTTTACGGAATGTGCAGAAAGAATTTAACAAGCAAAGCTGTCAGCCACACAGTTGCCACTAAAATATCATTATTGTACATACCAGTGACAATTAATAAATTTTGCAGTGCGAACGTAATTTAGTTTATAATTCAGTAAATTGGGATACCTGTGGCTAATATAAAAAAAAAAAAAAAAGAGATAAGGGAGATTCAATAAAAAAAAAAAAAAAAAGAGATAAGGGAGATCATCGTATGAATCTCATGTTGATAAATGCAATATTGTTATTTGACCCATAAAGATCTAACATATTTTTTATGTTTTTAATCATTAAATTTTATTTGGATATTTAGAATTTTTTTTTTTATTTTCTACCGATTTCCCCTTGTCCTGTCCTCTCCCCATATTTGTAGGAAGCAAAAGAAACTTTTTGCAGAGTAGAAGAGAAATGCCTTGTATTTTTATTACTAACAATCTTAGTGCACAAAGCACAAGAAGCTCCAAGAAACAATTGCTCACAATAAATAAAGAGAAGCCAATCAAACAATACGAAAGGTGTATGCACTATACATAAAATAACAAATTGAAGATGAATAAATAAAAAACCAAACTCAACTAGCCCCTTCCAAATCCGAGCCTTGATCCATTTAGATAAGGTCTAGCGTCTTAATTTTTGCTTTCGAAAATTATTCCTTTGAAGCCAATTTTACTTGTGCATAATATGAGCATAAGATGTAGAATTGCCATTTTGGAAATTGGAGCAAATTGGCCTGGATCTTTCAAGTTGTGGCCTGCTAATGCAAAATTCAGATCCTTATTGAATGGACTTGGATAAGAGGTTTGATATACACATCTTTTCCACTTGGAGCTTTTCTTTATTACATTGCTGAAATTAAAATCTGCAAGAACAAAATAACAGAAGATAAGATTTATATTCCTAAAAACTGAGAATGGTTATTAAATTAATCATTGAGGAAAATTTACTTACATGATTGATTGTGGTATCTCATGGAGCTGTTTCCTAATAATGAGTTGGTGGTGGCGGAGAGGCATAAATGTAAACTGGAGGTGGAGGTGACTTCACAGGTGGTGGTGGGGAGTGGTAGTAGTAGGGGGGAGGGGGTGACTTCACAGGTGGGGGTGGTGAGTGGTAGTAGTAGGGAGGAGGGGGTGACTTCACTGGTGGGGGTGGTGAGTGGTAGTAGTAGGGGGGAGGCGGTGATTTTACTGGTGGGGGTGGTGAGTGATAGTAGTAAGGAGGAGGAGGTGACTTCACAGGTGGAGGTGGGGAGTGGTAGTAATATGGAGGAGGGGGTGACTTCACCGGTGGCGGCGGTGAGTGGTAGTAATAAGGAGGAGGGGGTGACTTCACAGGCGGGGGTGGAGAGTGGTGGGTGGAGAGTGGTAGTAGTAGGGGGGAGGAGGTGATTTTACTGGTGGGGGTGGAGAGTGGTAGTAATAGGGAGGAGGGGGTGACTTCACGGGTGGAGGTGGAGAGTGGTAGTAGTATGGGGGAGGGGGTGATTTCACTGGTGGAGGTGGAGAATGGTAATAGTATGGAGGAGGTGGTGACTTCACGGGTGGAGGTGGAGAGTGATAGTAGTATGGGGGAGGAGGAGACTTCACTGGTGGGGGTGGTGAGTGATAGTAATATGGAGGAGGGGGTGATTTTACCGGTGGAGGTGGAGAGTGGTAGTAGTATGGAGGAGGAGGAGACTTCACGGGTGGAGGTGGAGAGTGGTAGTAGTACGGAGGAGGGGGAGACTTCACCGGTGGAGGTGGAGAGTGGTAGTAGTACGGAGGAGGAGGTGACTTCACGGGTGGAGGTGGAGAGTGAAATAGTAATATGGGGGAGGAGGTGATTTCACTGGTGGAGGTGGAGAATGGTAATAGTATGGAGGAGGTGGTGACTTTACTGGTGGTGGTGGAGAAGTGTAGTAGTAAGGAGCAGGTGTGGGCTCGGGTTTAGGCTTCTTACACTCCTCGTAAGGAGTTTTAGGAGCATAAGCAAATGGCTTAGCTTGAAGAACAACTTCATACTTTGTCTTGGACTTAACCTTAAGCTCGGCACCCTTATCACCCATGTGTAGGTCAGTTGGGATGTTACAAGGTGAGTGTTTGGGTGCCTTATGGAGCTTAGCCTTGCAAGCCTCTGCTCCGTATTTACCATAGTAAAAGCCCTCAACAGGAATACTATATTTACCATTGATCTTGGTTTTACCATATGCCTTTATTTCTTTATCACCTGCCTTACATGTCACCTCAACTACAGCACCTGATCCATTGTACAACAGATAAGAAAAATAATTTCATGTTAGGAAAGTCAAAGAAAGGATAATAATTATTTTGTCTTATATTTTTATTTTTCTTTGAAAAATCATAGATAGACATTTACGACAATGAAATACTTTGTCAAGCTACAATTTTGGTTAAAAAAATTTACCATTATGCATAAAGCAAACAAGCAATTTAGCTTTTTTTTTTTTTTTCCAATATTGTAGATATTATAGTACAAAATATATTATTACGGTACTGTAATTTAAGTAAATTATACTTACAATAAAAAATACGAATTAAATCAATTATTAAATCCATAAAAGACAAAATTTTAATTTAGATGCGGACAGGCTGGGAAAGCAATTAATTCTTATTTCAAAGTATTTTAAAATGTTTGATGGTCTTATCTCATGTTATATAAAATGCTAAAAATTGATTTTTTTTTAATTATAAAAATTTCCAATTTATATATATACAATAAAATAATTGTCAAACCATGTGACAATAAATAATTAATGGTAATTCAAACAAAATTACTACAGGCCAATGATTGTAAGTTGGAACAGGAAAGGAATAAAAACAAGAAATATAAATAAATAAATCATTTAAAGCACATGCATAACAGGAAACATATTCTCTATCAAAACTGAAGTTAATGAAGATTAAAAAGGAATAAACATAGAGAGTTGCAGGCAATATTTTAACGAAAAATTAATCTTAAGGATTTAGAAAAACAAATGTACCTTTGAGATGCTTCTTGTCGTGTGACTTCTCTGGGTATTCCCAATCGTAGCATCTGATGCAGTACACTTTTCCTACTACCTTCACTACCAATTTATGGTGATGGGGGTGAGGGTGAGGGTGAGGGTAAGGATGAGGAACCGGTGGTGGTGGAGAAGTATAGTAGTATGGTGGAGGATAAGCCTTAGGTGGTGGTGGCGACTTGTAGTAGTAGGGAGCTGGAGTTGGTGATTTTGTTGGTGGTGGTGGAGATTTATAGTAGTATGGTGCTGGATGATATGGTGAGGGTGGTGGTGGAGACTTGTAATAGTATGGTGCTGGAGTTGGTGATTTTTCGGGTGGTGGAGGAGATTTGTAGTAGTATGGTGGAGGAGGAGATGGTGATGGTGGAGGTGGGGACTTATAGTAGTATGGCTCAGGTGCTGGTGACTTTTCGGGTGGTGGAGGAGATTTGTAGTAGTATGGTGGAGGAGGAGATGGTGATGGTGGAGGTGGGGACTTATAGTAGTATGGCTCAGGTGCTGGTGATATGGCTCTGGTGCTGGTGATTTTTTAGGTGGTGGGGGAGATTGGTAGTAATATGGTGGTGGAGGAGATGGTGAAGGTGGTGGTGGTGATTTGTAATAATAAGGTGGTGGAGGTGATGGTGAGGGAGGTGGTGGTGATTTGTAGTAGTATGGAGGAGGGGGAGATGGAGATGGAGGTGGTGGTGACTTGTAATAGTAAGGTGGTGGTGGAGAAGGAGAGGGTGGTGGAGGAGACTTGTATTCATAGTGAGGCTTAGGAGATGGTGGTGGTGGAGACTTGTATTCATAATGAGGCTTAGGAGATGGTGGTGGTGGAGACTTGTATTCATAGTGAGGCTTAGGAGATGGTGGTGGTGGAGACTTGTATTCATATGGTGGTGGTGGTGATGGGGAAGGTGGTGGTGGTGACTTGTACTCATAATGAGGCTTAGGAGATGGTGGTGGTGGTGACTTGTATTCATAATGAGGTTTGGGAGATGGAGGTGGTGGTGACTTGTATTCATAAGGTGGTGGTGGAGACGGAGATGGTGGTGGTGGAGACTTGTATTCATAATGAGGCTTGGGAGATGGTGGTGGTGGAGACTTGTACTCATAATGAGGCTTGGGAGATGGAGGTGGTGGTGACTTGTATTCATAAGGTGGTGGTGGAGATGGAGATGGTGGTGGTGGAGACTTGTATTCATAATGAGGCTTGGGAGATGGAGGTGGTGGAGACTTGTATTCATAAGGTGGTGGTGGAGATGGAGAAGGTGGTGGGGGAGACTTGTACTCATAATGAGGCTTGGGAGATGGAGGCGGTGGTGACTTGTATTCATAAGGTGGTGGTGGAGATGGAGAAGGTGGTGGGGGTGACTTGTACTCATAATGAGGTTTAGGAGATGGAGGTGGTGGTGACTTATACTCATAAGGTGGTGGAGGAGAAGGAGATGGTGGTGGTGGTGACTTATATTCATAAGGTGGTGGTGGGGATGGAGAGAAGGAGAAGGTGGAGGTGGTGACTTATATTCATAATGAGGTTTAGGTGATGGTGGAGGTGGTGATTTATACTCATAAGGAGGTGGTGGAGAAGGAGAAGGTGGAGGTGGTGACTTATATTCATAATGAGGTTTAGGTGATGGTGGAGGTGGTGATTTATACTCATAAGGAGGTGGTGGAGAAGGAGAAGGTGGAGGTGGTGACTTATATTCATAATGAGGTTTAGGTGATGGTGGAGGTGGTGATTTATACTCATAAGGTGGTGGTGGGGATGGAGATGGAGGTGGAGGAGACTTGTACTCGTAATGAGGTTTAGGAGATGGTGGTGGGGGTGACTTGTACTCATAAGGAGGTGGTGGAGAAGGAGAAGGTGGAGGTGGTGACTTATATTCATAATGAGGTTTAGGTGATGGTGGAGGTGGTGATTTATACTCATAAGGAGGTGGTGGAGAAGGAGAAGGTGGAGGTGGAGAATAGTAAGGATAAGCATCTCCTGATACTGAACTTACACTACTTGAAACAAAAACTACAGCCAACGCTATGGCCAAGTGAGGCCAAAGACGACCCCACCCGGGGCCGCCGCCGGAACTTCTCATTTCTTACCGGAAAATTGTGCTCCTTTCTCCACTGTCTCGAACTTAGCTTTTGCTTTTCTCTTTGAAGAGTTTAGGAGAGAGTGGGTTTGGTTTGAGTTAATTAGCTTTGCATGAGATAGAGACCATTTATAGAACAAATGGTCGTTGAGAGAGAGCTGTCAATAAGGACCAAAAAACCACAAATTGTTCTTTTGATTAATCTAAAAAAATGGGTTTTTTTAGCTGTCCTTTGATTTATGATTATTCCTTAATTTTAATTACTGAACTAATCTCCAACTACTCAATTTAATTATTTAATTATTTCAACTTTCTCGCATTTAAAATAATTCCACTCCTTTACCCTTCCAAAATTTTTTATTTTGCATCCTTCGCATCTTCCATAATTTGAGATCCAAAAGAAACTCTCGATATAAAAAAGAATGTTATAATTTTTCCTACTAATTGCTTAATTATATGCATATAATTGTGATTTGGGTTTATTAATTAATAATCAGATTTTGCAATTAAACTATCCAATGGTTTAAAAATTTGCCAAATGGCAGCTCCCATTTCTTATGCTGCCTCTACACTCAATAAAACAAAATCCATTTTTCATTATGGCTCATTAAACACAGCATTATTTCTAAATTATTAATCTTTTTCATTTTTTTAAAATTATAATTATGAAAATAATCCATCAATCAAAGAAAAGAATTTATTAAAATAAGACTTTTTGTTTTGGTATAAATATATATATATTGATGGGGAATCTTACTGGTCTACTATAATAAACAAATTGTGGGAAAACAGGCTGTCACAAACATGGATAACTTATACATAATGTGCAGGCAACCCTGTTTGACTCGCTCGAAACTCAGTGAACTCGTTTGAAATTTCAGATTTTGGAGCATCTAAGCACCTTCCTTTCACTAACAAAGACTATAGAAATTAATTTGTTTTTAATCTATCATTATCATGTGATTTCTCAATTATGAGAGTGCAATTGTTATCAAGTGATATTGCAGCTTTTGCAGCTATTTTGAGCTGGAGAAAAATTTAAAGAAAAAGAAAAAAAAAAAAAAAGTAAAAGAGAGTAGTTATTTTTCTGAGTCCAATTGCATTTCGTGCAAGAAAGAATAATGCATATAGTTTCTTTGAACTTGAACATGTCCCCACTTCCCTCGCAATGATAGGCTAAAGCTGTAAACTTTGGACCACCCAAAGTTAAAGTTAATCTTAATTATTATTTTCATATTAAAAGTCGATAAAAAATTGACTCAGATCTTAATAGTTGAATCAATCAAATTGAACTATATTTCTAAACCAAATTTACTTATAAGGTTAAATATTCAAAATCTAAAATTGTTTTATTCGAACGGTTTTAAATAAACTTTAAACGTAAAATTAACTATAAAGTTAGGTGTTTGAAATCTAAAATCGCTTTATTAGAAAGGTTTTATCTTAATTCTAAACATGAAATTAATTGAGATCTTACTGGTTGAATTAAGAAAAATGAACCGTATCTCTACACGAACTTTATTTGTAAGATCAGATGTGAATCTAAAATCGTTTATTTGAAGAATTTTACCTGAAAAATCCAAACAGTCAGACACCTATTTAATTTTTATATTGGGTTTATTGGTGGATTCCAATTTTTCTAATTCACATGTCTTCCAAAACAGAAAAATTGTATTTTGATGGGATATTTTATTAAACTTATTAACATGAAGGGGGTCCAAAATGCTAGCTATAGTGGAATTATGTTTAGCAAACACGTGGGATAGTTTGATTTTCTCCGACCTAGATAAATCTCTTTGCTTAAAAGTCATCCTCCACGCAAAGAATTATTGTACTGGCATTAAATTGTACATTGTATAGATTAAAATTAGGTAGCTGTCGCCCTTAATTAACATTCATAATTATGAAAATTGAAGCCTCAAGACTCAAAACTAGCTAGTTTAAATTAATTCTTAATTGTAGTATTTTTGCTAATGCACAAATTATATCATTTTGCGTATAGTAGTACCCTTTTGTGAAACAATTCTATATTTTGCAAACCCTAATTTTAAAATTTAGCATATAATTCAAAAGCTAAGCCACCATTAATGCCTCTTCTCTTTCTTGCTGTGACTGTCAATGCCGTGTGATAAAACACCTCTGCAAAGTCACAACACATAGTAGAGAGTATTGAAGATAAAGCCATAAAGGGATTAGTTGAAAATAAGATAAAATATAGAAAAAAAATCTCTTTATTTATTCTGTTAAACACTTCTCTTGGCATAGCTATAGATGAGGAAATAGAGGCAGCCTCAGCCACTATAGTGGAAGGCAATTGAATTGGGAAAAGAGAATCTTAAAAGGAGAAGAAGGAGCCAATTGAAGTCCTTTTCAAGGCTTATAATGTTCAAATCATAGAGTAATTAATTGATAGGGAAGTGTTTATTAAAAGAAAAATGAGTTAAACACCCATTTTAATTTCTATTTTTGTTTAGGTTTTAAAGTACTTTGGACCACCTATGTTGGATTTATGCATGGTGTTTGAGGTTTATATAAGTGTAATCTTAAGTCATCATTACCTAATACTTTAGAATTAACTATGCTTTAACTCTTTCTTTGGGACCCCATTATAGAATGATTTAATTAAGTTTAGTTTTGTTGTTTGTGTTTATTAATTACGCTGTTTAAGAGTCTGTTTGGCAAAATTAGATGTTTCGGTAGCTGTTACTTATTTTAGTAGCGTTTAGTCAATTGTTACTGAGCACAGTCTAAATTAAGTTATAAATTATTAATATTAGATTTTTTTATAAAACGTTAAAAGTTAAACGTTACATAAGTTAACTTTTTATAAAATAATATATTCACCTTTAAAAGTTAGTTCAAACGCTATATTTTCGAATATTATAAAAAATAGTGTGTAGCATTTTGATGCTAAAAACTACTTAAAAAGTTGTTACCGAATACAGTCTAAATTAAGTTATAAATTATTACTATTATTAGATTTTTTGAATATGAAGGAAGGTAGACTAAGATGTAAATAAATTATCATATTATATATATACTTATCATTGTGCATTATCTCGACATGCAAATAGTTCTTCGATGACAAAGTGAGAAAGACGTAGATTGCAAAAGAATATTGGATTTTTTTTAATATATCTTAAAGCAGTACATGTACGACTTTAAATAAGAAAACTAATAACAGAAGTTGCCGTAGAATAGGCGTGAATAATGCAAAATATCACCAGTAAGTGAACTAATCACCCTAAGAATCCTAACCACAAGACTCATTCAATTATAATGTATTTAAATAATTATTAACAGCAGTACATGTACGAAACTTAAATAAAAACTAATAACTAGAAACTTGCCGTAGAATAGCCGCGCTCAATCCAACCGCAAATCATCCACACGTCAACGTGAACTAATCACCTAAGAATCCTAACCAACAAGACTCATTCACATTACCACAGTACCAAATAATAACCCTTATCCTCCAATACTCAAGCCTCAACACAGCAACCTTATCCTCCGGAAAGGGTGCGAAAAATATCCCTATGACCCCTCGACAACATCCCTCTCACACTATGTCCGGGGGTAGACATAGTTTTGCGTCGAAAATTTGTTGGCTAGGCGCCCTTATCCCTCCAATACTCAAGCCTGCAACACAGCAACCTTATCCCTCCGAAGGGGTGAAAATATCCTTATGACTCCCTGAGCTAATATCCCCTCTCAAACTATGTCCGGGGGTTAGACATAGTTTGCGTCGAAATTGTGCTAGGCGAGCTTTTGTCATTGATTTTGTAAATATATCGGCGACTTGATCTGCCGATGGAATGTATCTTGTGATCAAAACTCCTTGAGCAACGCGTTCACGGACATAGTGATAGTCAAGAGCAACATGTTTACTGCGTGAATGTAGTACTGGATTAATTGTCAAGTGCAGGGCACTTATATTATCACCATATAAGACCGGCGGCTGTTTGGTAGAAACTTGTAAGTCATCCAAGAGATATCCAAGCCAAGTGAGCTCAGCAGCCGTGTGTGCCATGGAGCGATACTCGGCTTCGGTGCTAGAGCGTGCAACGGTGTGTTGTTTTTTTGCACACCAGGAGATGATATTGGCTCCAAGAAATGTACAATAGCCTGTTGTGGACCGTCGTGTGGCTGGACAACCCGCCCAATCTGGTGAGATTTATTTGGTTGATGCATGAACTGGGAGACATAGTTGACACTATAGGATAAGTCCGGACGTGTCAACGTTAAATATTGGAGGGAGCCTACAAGTCCACGAAAATGTGTAGGGTCACTGAGTGGAGTTGTATCCGTTGTGGTATTCGGCCGTTGAACTTGTGGAGTCGGCATTGGCTGACAGTCCAACATTTGAGCTCGTTCTAAAATGGAAAGAGCATAGCGTGTTTGATTTAAATGTAAACCGGTTCCTGTGGATTGCACTTGAATACCAAGAAAATGATGTAGTGGGCCTAGATCTTTGATTGAGAACTCCGAGCTTAGAACCTGCAAAAAATTTTGAACTAGAGCCATGGACGACCCTGTTAACAACATATCATCCACATATATTAGTAAAACCAAATGTTGGATTGCACATTAAGAAAATACGCAGAAAATGATGTAGTGGGCCTAGATCTTTTGATTGAGAACTCCGGCTTAGAACCTGCAAAAAATTTTGAACTAGAGCCATGGACGACACTCCTGTTAAACAAACATTATCATCCACCATATATTTAGTATAACACCAATGATACCCGTTTTGTGTGCCATGACAAAACAAAGAAGGTATCAGCTAAAACACCAATGAAAATAAGCCAATTCAAGGTAAAAAAGGTACGTTAAGAACGATTAAGTCAAAATAAGCGTGCGTGTGAGTGCTTGTTTGAGTCCATACAAAGTCTCGTTGGAGTTTACAAACATTGGTTGGGTTTATTAGATCTTATCATTCCTGGTGGTGCTCCATATAAATATTTCAGTAATTAAACCCATGCAATGAGGCATTATTGACAGAT